TACTGGACTCTCGCTGCGATCCCGTCCTTTTATGCTGATGCTATCGCGGCCGATTATGCAAATCTGACGTCAGCGCCACGTCGCGACACGCCGAAACGGACTTGTCGGCGCGCCGATCGGCCGCCCGTCTGTCGGAACCCTCTTATCGCTCTGTTATGTCGACAACCATACACACTCGTTCGTGAATCTGTCCCGTTCCCTTCTCTCCTCACGACCCTCTGTCGGACCCCGTTACATCCGGCCGCCTTACCATTTCCGGCTATCCTCGTCGACCCGTCGAGTTGCCAGTTTCGGCCGCCGCCTACCTCCGGATGCCGCACTTTTCTCCTGCAGCATGCATCCGTTAACATCAGGTGCTCACCTGCCTCCGTGTCGACGGGCCCCTCCGTCTCCCTCCCATACCATTCGCTGCCTTTCCTGTTTCAGCCTTTCTTAGTCGCGTCCGCGTGTCGCCTTTTTCGCCCACGCTTCTCCCTCCGGATGCCGCCTTTTCCCCCGTAGCTTCCCTCCCTTCGCATCCCCTGGTCCCGTACCCGTCTGTCGAGGTGCCCCTCCGTTCATGCAGTTGCAGCTGCTCCCTTTCCGACGTCCGCCTTTTCCGGTTGAGCCGTCCCGTGTCGTTTTCGGCCCGCCGCCACCGCTTCTCTACAGTCGTCTCTCTATTGTATATTAACAATTATTATTAGTAGCGATAACTTGTATTAATCGCCGCAAGTGTGATAACGCTTTGATGGATTCATAATAATAAATACGAAAAAAAAAAAAAAACATTTTCCACATCTCCCGTAAGGGGGCCTACACGTTCTTCTTTCCGTATTTATTTACATATCGGCGCCTGACCGAACGGATAATTATTTATACGTACATTTATATATTTTTATTTTTGCATTTATACCTTTTATGCTAGTAAACATATATAAACATATATAAGAAACAAAATGTTTGTATTATCAATAACATTAAAAGTGCACATCAAGTAAACACAGAAAATAAAACACCTTAATTTGTTGTTGAGAAATATAATTGAAAAACTAACGTTTTCAATCTGATTAAAACCCATTCGCTGCAGAAACCACACTATCACGTTTTTGCACGTTAGTCACGTGACCATTCGTTTTTCAAGAAATGCAACAACTGCAAAAGTGCGATTTTAATAAAAAATTTGAATAATTCGCGTTATATTTGAGTTTTCCCTCGATTTTAGCTATGATTCGCTCTTTTGTAAGTCGATTGACTTTGTTTAAACCAATAAGTGTTTTGTTACCACCCCTGGGCCATAAATATTTTGGTAAATACATCCCCCTACCATTTACAGTAAATCTTTGAAGTTAACTAGACAGTTGGTTGAAAACAATCAAAGGGAAACTCCTTCTAAAGTTTTATTGGGTATCTTCTGTCTTCGTTGACATTACTGTAACTAATCACAGACTTGTGAAAGGAAAAATTGCCGCGAAAAGTCCCACCTTCAACCTTCGAAGTAAAATGTAAACAATCACAATAAATTCGCTTTTTAAATTGTTTTTTAGCTCTAATTAACTAATTTAACGTTTTAAGACATTAAATTAGCTAATTTAACAATATTTAATCGTATAAATATTGTGGGGTTTTAGGAGCCCTAGTGTGGTTGGGGTGGCACCACTGTAGTGATGTGAGCCCTTAAGGGGGGTGAAAAGGTTACGACCCTCGCTTTACCCGTGATCTGTCAGGATGACACAAGAAAGCCTTTTCCGTATGGGGGTCGCGGTTTGCAGGACGCAAAGACTCACACAGAGACCGTATTTCCACAGTTAACGCATTTATTGATAGAGAAATTCATGCTTACAATGAGTTACACAACGTCAGAATGTCGGCAGGCGTCCGTCACTGGAGAGGAGCTCGCCGGGTAGTCCGTTCCCCGATGATAGGTTAGCACAAATAAAACGAAGAAAAGGGTCCGTACTCCGACGATATAGGTAGATGCTTGGAGGTGGGAAAGGGTGGAAGAATTGGGCACTGGGAAGTCGAGTGAGTTCCTTCCGTCCGTTACTGGATTTCTGAGTCTTCTTCTTCCTCGATTATTTCGGATCCGTTCGTATGAAGTCGTCGGACTTGAATCTCCAGCTCCCAACCTCCCCGTGTNTGCATCTACTGGCATTGTGATTCTGTATCGGCGTTTGCTTCTCATGCATACATAAGAGGCAAATTTTGTGGATAACAGTGGTGTGCCTGGAGCTGTACCATGGAAATAAGAATCACACAAGATATACTTCGAGCTATGCTAGCAGCAAGATTTATAAGGAAGAGCAAAGGCGTTGGACAACTAATTCTGGAAAATCGTTGACAGAGGACTATATTCTAATAAGATCTGTATAAGTCTCCTGGTCTGGATTGTGCAGGAGTTTCACTTCAGCAGAAAAAAAAAAAAACTTTTATCTAGACTGACTATACTACTGCGTCTTTATTAGGGAGTGGAAAAGAGGAAACCTCTGCTGAAACAGAATTGCCGCGTAAGATAACAAAACATGTTCCTCATGTAACTATATAATGTTATGACTCTGTCACATTTCCAGCAACTTTTATGTTTTAAATTTATTTTTATCTATTAATACGTATTAATGTTTTGCATGCGTGTATAACCCTATATATATAATTGTACACGCGTTAATTAATTTTATTTACGTTAATAATTAGTTATCGAAATCTTCAGTGTAAACTATGTAATTTCCTGTATATACCCGGTAATACTTAGTGGCACCGGGATATGCCATATGGCATATTGATCAATAAATATCTGTATCTGTATCTGTATCTGTATGGTTAAACAACATTAAATTGGTTCTGTTTGAAGCATTAACTTGTCTATCGTAGGCAAAGGAATGTAACTCACCAATGTCATCCAAAGGTAACTGATGTTGCTGTTCCAGTTTATCTAGTCACGAACATACTTTAGAAAAGTCAGTTTCCAATTTTCTTACCAAGGACAAAGTTGACTGGTTGGCCATTTCCAAATTGGCGAGCCTATCTTCGATACACTTCAACTGCATCATTACTATATTTAAAGTCGTCTCCAAATATTGCCGTAAGGTTAACAATTCTTCTCTGTCTGAGTCTGGAGGAGATTGCCGCTTAAAATAATGTTCTAACTTTGGATATTTTACACCCGGATCACTCGGTGAATGATGATGTTTAGTTCCTTTCTTCTTGGGTGTGCTTTAATGCTTCTGGAGGAGTACGTGGAAACATTTTAAAAAAAATAGAACTAATGACACAGAATAATACAATTGAGCAAAAAACGTACGAACTTAGGTAGCAAATAAATAAAAGACTCAGTAATTTACAATAAAAAAATGTGTTAACAAAATCTCCAACAAAAAGTCACCAGCAGCTGAGGTACCCCTGTAAACTTCTCGTAATATTTACATTAGATAAAATTTTGTTGGGATGATGTAAGTACATGTGTTGTTCTAAATTATTTCTTTGTTTAAAAGTATTTTGACAATAATTGCAGTTGTACGGCCTTTGACATAAATGCATTTTCATGTGCGATGTTAAGTTGCCCTTTTGATGAAAAGTGTTCGGGCACAAATTACATTGAAACCCGTGTGAATTCTCATGTGGTTTTCTAACTGGCTTTTGCATAAAAATTTTTTGCCACATTCCCTGCATTTTAAAATAATTTGTTGAATAAAAATAAATAATTAGTCACAAACTTAAACAAAAATTATTCACGATAATATAAATTATTGTTATATATTATAATATGTTTATATTTTTACAATCTGTTTTCTATCTNTTAAATTTTGATTTAAATATTTATATTCTATACATGGAACGTATCTGTTCCATTTTCGTTTTTTAAACCTGATGATGGCCTGTTAATCAGGTTGAAAACATTAGTTTTTTAATTAAATTTTTCAGCAACAAATTAAGGTGTTTGTGAGATCCAAATAGCCCCTGGGTCTAATAACAGTTTAAAATTTAAATTAAAAATCTTGACATAATATATTCTTACATTTTTGGTGGGAAAATAACGTTTTCCAACGTGGGAAAAACTGATAACAGAGCTACTTTTTTTGAAGAAAGTTGGAGCATCTTCTGTTTTTTTCCTTATCTGCTAAAAATCTCGCTTCGATGGGAATTGTTTACCTCTCATTTATCCCCTTTTCCATCCGTCCACGTGGAAAAATCCTCATATGATGATTTGTCGTAAATGGGAAGATATGGACGAAGTTCAACCGAATTTGAGGAGTTTGTCAAAAGATCTCATAGTAGAAAGAAGTCTCCATATTGTCTCCCTAAGGCCCCTCGATGTGGGTTCCTGTCCATGGTGAGGGGACCTCCCAGAGATGGTTTAGTAACTCTTTTACCATCCCTGGGATTTGAACGTCCACCCACGTGTTTGCCGTGCGTGGTATCACATATGCCAGAAAGGGGGATCCTGGTAGTTGAGGAGCAACATAATGTCCCCAACACACTGCTTTGGCCCCTGCTTCGGATAAACGGGAGGCTCAAATCAGGCTCTGTTTTAGTCAATCAGCTGGTCGTTGAGTCATTCTTGACCTCGGCTTGGAGTCAACTAATCGATGCAGATCAGGGGGACACACCAGACAAGATGTGCTCTTCTCAACTGCATTATGAGGGTATAGCTCCTGGGAAACCCTGGTGTTATGGTCTATGGGAGTCTCCCATGTGACGGCATCCCCTTGTTGGGCCCCATGTGGGTGGGGTCACTAGGAGCTGATTAGTTATTTTTAAATATAGATTCTCTAAAATCTAAAACATCTATCAATGCATTGCCATCAAAGGTCAGTTTTTCCAATCAACCAACCTACCTTATTGTTCACGCTACAGGAGAAACACCTCTGTCTAAACGTTCTCCTTTTTTTAATTCAGAAACTCTTTGAGTCGACCATTGGGCACTTTAAAATATTCAAAAATTGAGGTCAGAAGATCTACTTGTAGAAGTAACCTCCCCTCAACAGTCAACAAAGCTTCTGAAAACAAAGTCTTTTGGAGACATAATGGTCACCATCACACCACACACAAGTTAGAACTCATGACCTGGTGTGATATCTGAAAATGATGTGATTTCTGAGGATGAATCAGATATTCAGGTTGGTCTTTCACACCAAGGTGTCACTGCTGTTAGACGAATTTTGATTCGTCGAGATGGCAAGTTGATACCAACAAAACATCTTATATTAACTTTCAACAAACCAACATTGCCATCTTCTGTTGTGGTAGGATATCTCTGTTGCCCAGTTCACCATACATTCCAAACCTTCTGCGTTGCTTTAAATATCAGCAGTTTGGACACTCGCAAACATCATGCAGAGGAAAAAAAAGCATGCGCACAGTGTGGAATTGAAGATCACGAGAGTACTGAATGTAAAAGTACTCCATGCTGTGTGAACAGCAAAGATGACCATCCTGCCTACTCTCAGAAATGCCCTGCATGGCAGAGAGAAAAAGAAATTCAGCGGGTGATTACAGTGAATATTATACCTTACCTGGAGGCATATCATATGGTCACTCCAAATGCACCAGTGCAACAGAAGACCTTTGCTGCTGTTTTGAAGTCCACAAAGACATGTGGAGTTCAGAAAGACATTTCTGTTTCACCAAATGAATCTCTCACATTCCATGCTAAATGTTACTAATTCAATCCAAAGAGAGAGAAGAAAAGGAGAACATAAAGACAAAATCATCCCTACTCAAAACAGGAGTAGTTACTAGAAATGTGGGTTTTAAAACGCTAATAAGAACCCACTCAACAAACAAAAATTGAAAGCAGCCCTCTCTAAATCAAAGAGATCAGAGACTCAATCCATGAGTGAGTTCTCTGATATCACTGATGAAGAGAATAATATGGAGGTGACACAACCAATCTCACCTTCTAAAGGAAAATCCTCAGTAAAATTGAAGAGGGTCATATTTTTTAAGAATGCTGCCTCAAACACATAATGGATCATAAAATAATCCAATGGAACTGTTGTGGTTTCCGCAACAACTTCTCTGACATTAAACACTTGACATCATGTACCTCATCTTTCTGTGTGGCACTCCAGGAAAACCAATCTACAACCTGGAGCTAATATTTCTTTAATAGGATTTGATCTCTACTACAAGGATGATGATAGCCACAACAGCGTGAGTGGTGGTGTGGCTATGTTGGTTTCCAATCGCATTCCATCTTTGCCGGTACAAATAAGCACTGATTTGCAAGCTGTGGCAGTCAGAATATCTATTTGAGTAACTGTCACAGTTTGTTCTATATACTTGCCACCAGATGTCAAAGTCAATGAGGATGAATTGGATGCCTTGATTTAACAGCTGCCAACTCCATTCCTTTTACTTGGTGATTTTAATGGCCATAATCCAATGTGGGGCAGTCCGGACATCAACCATCGAGGTAGAGCCATTGAAAGATTCATAGGCAATTAGCAACTATATTTATTTAATACTGGAGAAGTGACATACTTACATGTCCCAACAAGAACTTTCACTGCCATTGATTTATCATTAGCGAGTCCAAATGTGTTTTCAGCATTTACATGGGAGGTTGGATCTAATCCATTCTCTAGCGACCGCTTCCCAATATTTCTAAAATACCAAGGCAGAGAAAGCTGTGAAACAGCCATTTACCACACTGGAAACTTGAAATGGCAGATTGGCCTGCATTCTCCTCTTTGGCTGACATCACTGAGGAAATGGTCAATACTGCTGACATAAATGATGGAGTTAAGCTTGTCACTTCCAGTATCATTTAGGGAGCTGAAAAAACGATGGGAAAAACATCAATCAGATATCCAAAGCATCCTAAACCTAGGTGGAACCAGAATTGCGAGGCAGCATTTAAAAAACAAAAGAAAGCATGGGGGATTTTCAGAAGATACCCTACTGCTAACAATTTGAATGCTTTTTAAAAAGCAAAGGCAAATGCCAGAACTATAAGAAGGCAAAGCCAAAGGGATTCTTGGAAGAAGTATGTTTCATAACATCTTTGACTAGCTCAAAAGTAGTCTGGGATAAAATCCATAAAATTAATGGGAAATATACTTCTCACTCTCTGTCCATGCTAGAAAATAATGGCACAATAATCAGTGATATACATGGTATTGCTAATATGTTGGGTGAAACATTTTCATCTTCATCCAGCAATATTATGTATGCAAGGAATTTACAGGTTTATAAAGCCCAAAGTGAAAAACAATATTTAAACTGTCACTCCTTATGTAATGAGGAATATAATGTGCCATTCACTAGAATTGAATTACACACAGCGATCTTTCGCTCGGGGAATAGTGCTATAGGTTTGGATAAAATCCACCACAGCATGATTAAAAATATGTCAAACAATTCCGTTTTTAATTTCCTGCATCTATTTTAACAGAATATGGACAGAAAATACTTTTCCCGACTCTTGGAGATTATCAATTACTATTCCCATTCCCAAGCTAGGTAAAGACAGCAAGAATCCCTTGAATTACAGACTAATCTCTCTGACAAGTTGCCTGTGTAAACTCTTTGAGAGGATGGTAAACAGACACCGCATGTTCCTCCTAGAGGAAAAGAACTATTATTCACCACATCAGAGTGGATTTCGTAGGAACAGAAATACCACGGACAACTTAGTAAACCTTGAAACATCTATACGCGAAGCATTTGTTAGATGACAGCACTTAGTGTCTGTGTTTTTCGATATAAAGAAAATATATGATCGCTGTTAGCGATACCGGATACTCTGTGACCTGCACGAATTTGGGTTGTGGGGCAATTTGCTAATTTTTATAAAAAACTTCCTACAGATTTGAAGATTTAAGTCAGGATGGGCACAACTTTATCTAGGCTCTTCACACAACAAGAAGATGTCCATCAAGGCTCTATTCTGAGTGTGACTTTGTTTCTAATTAAAATCAATAGCATAGCTAACTGTCTTCTTCCCAGTTTGAAACACTCTCTGTATGTGGATGACTTTCAGATCTCCTGCTAGTCAAACAAGATGAGTATTATTGAGAGACAACTGCAAAGCTTCCTAAATTGCATAGAAAATTGGTCAAAGGCTAATGGTTTCAATTTTAACATAGAGAAGACCTCATGCACTTACTTTTGCCAAAGGCGTGGTTTGCATTTGGATCCCGAAATTTACCTAAATGGGGATAAAATTTCAATGGTGAATGAAGCTAAGATTTTGCGTGTTTGTTTCGATCAAAAACTGACATTTTTGCCACACTTGCGCAATTTGAAGAGTAGATGTTTAAAATCTTTAAATTTTTTAAAGGTTCTATGCTGCTCATCCTGGGGAGCAGACATGTTCTATGCTCAGGATTTATAGGGCTCTTGTCCGCTCTAAGCTGGACTGCGATTGCATTGTTTATGGCTCTGCGCGAGAATTTACTCTTCGGATGCTGGCTCCAATCCACCATCAAGCGCTGCGTTTGTGCACTGGTGCTTTTCGAACATCTCCGTTTGTATGTGGATGCTTATGAGCCTCCATTATCTGTCAGGAGAGAACAGTTGTCTTTTTCTTACTATATCAAACAGAAATCTGTGAATAGACTTTCATCTAATAATTCAGATACTCAGCTGAAAAGATTATTTGCAGCTCGGACGAGTTGTGTCCCTACATTCAATATCAGAATGCAGAATGTAAGCAGCACGATTGACCTGGATGCAAGCAACATCTCACATGTTGAGGTTAATAGCATTTCACCTTGGTCAACTCCAGTGATAGATGTTGATTTAAGCTTAAAGCAGTTCCCCAAAGAAACCACACTAGACTACATCTATAGCCAGCACTTCGCAGAAATTCAACATTGTGACAGGAATTTAATTTCTATATACTCCAATGGATCTAAATCAGATAATTATGTTGGCTTAGCCTTTGATTGCCAAAATGAAATTGTGGCAGAACAAATAGCACTGAATTCTTCCATTTTTTCTGCGGAGTTGCAGGCTATTTATTTAGCCCAAAAATACATAAATAGGAAAGGTCATTATTGCTGCGTGATTTACACTGGCTCAGTTAGTGCACTTCAGGCTTTGATCTCATATGAACCTAGTTCTTACTCCATAGTTATTAAAATTTGAAAACTAATTTGTCATCTCACTACGAGAGACTTTTTTGTAAAGTTTTGTTGGGTTCAGGCCATATGGGTATAAGAGGTAATGAAGAGGCTGACACAGCTGTTAAGTTGGCAAGTTTTTTAAAGCATACAATGCGTATTGAAGGAAGTTATTTGAAGCTAGTCATTAAAAAACGACTAGCATAGAGATGGCAAGTTATGTGGAATGCACAAATTTACAATAAACTATATGAGATCAAATCTTTGATAGAAAATTGGACACATAATAGGCAGTATTACAGGAGATCTGAGGTTGGCCTTACTCATTTGAGAATTGGACACACTCAACTGACTCATCAATATCTTTTGAAGGGCAATGATGAACCAGTATGTCAGTACTGCAACTGTACTGTGAGTGTTAAACACATACTTTGCAACTGCGTTGCTTTTGATCAAAGTCGTAGACAGCATTTTGGAAATGCAATGTTTAGAGAGATTTTGGGCCAGACGCCAAATCTGGACAATATCTATACATATTATTAACTTTCTGAAAATTAATAATATGTATAGAGTGATTTGATTACTTATTTATTTATTTACTTTTTTTACAGTTTTATTTATTTTGTTTATTGCTTATTTATATTGTTGTATATATTTGTTGTTGTTATTTATTTATTTATTTATGTCTTATGTATGTTGTGTGTGATGTTTAAAATTTTTACCATTTGTTTTGGCACAGCTTAGCCTACATGGATCTTGTGCCAAAAAACAAAAATCAACTAACCAACCTTTTTGATGAAAACTTCTTTAAAGTAGAATAAGCCTCACATTCGACAGATGATGGGTCAGAGATTATGTTTCTCAGAAAATTTAAAGTTAATTTAACAAAGCGTTTCCGGGGTAACTCAAGGCCCAATTCAGATCTAGTTGCATACGATGGAATCGACTTCTCAAGACCAAAAAGTCGACGAAAAAACATCAGTTTTATAGAGTCGATATTCACAAAACAAAAAGGCTTCCAAATGGGCAGACCATAAGACCAACTCGAAGTAAAAAGAGAGGAAGCAAGTTTCTTACACAAAGCGATGTGACTGTTTTTAATTTTTCTCAAGATTTGTACTGTAACATTTATTTTGAAAATGCTTTGCTTTTAACATAGGAAATGTAATTTTGGAACGAGCCAGTAGCAGAGAAAAGAATCCCGAAATATATAACTTCACTAGCTGTTGTGGCTTTTCCTGCGAGGATTTTGCAAGCAAACCCCATTTGTATTCAGTATTTTAACAACATAGTAATTATTATATAACACCTACTGCTGAGAATGATGATAATTGCCGATAATCAAACGAACTGTTTTCAATTTTATCAATTTTCTGGAACGTTTACAATCGTTCTATAATTGAATCAGTATGCAATAACAAATTTGAATTTAAAATTGTTCGAACATTCGGTTAAAAAATCAAAATATATAAAAATATTTATAACAATGTCTGAAATGTTATCAATTTAATTTATCTAAGTAATCAATGAAAATTAAACGTAGTTGAAAACTAAAAATTGTATCTAAAATAGTACAGTAGAAGCCATTCTTCTGG